AGCTAGACACAACGCCCTTTTCACTAAGGAAGAAACAGACCCTGGAGAAGGACCGTGTTTGAAGGAGATCTGAATGAAGAAAACCTACAAAACCACCAAATAGAGGTGTTTGAGTCACATGACCATGATGACACTCCAAACTTATGAAAAATGGCATCAGTTAGTTAGAAAATTAAAGGTGTGTTCTCGAACTACTTTAAAACATTAGACATCTGTTAATTATATGTCTAAGTGAGGTAGTGAGGAAGGAGTGGGGGAGTGTAGTGGGTTGAACTGTGCCATCCAAAAACTATGCTGAAGTGCTAACCCCTGGTACACATTTGGCCATATTTGGAAATGAGGTCTTTGCAGATACATTAAAGTTAGGATGCGATGATTCTGGAGTAGAGTGGCCCCTGTGTCCAATGTGCTTACACGAAAAGGCAGTTTCGAGACACACACAGACACAGGAGAAGAAGCCGCATGAAGACAGAGTGACCAGGAGCTGGAGGAGGCCAGCGGGACCCTCTCCTTGAGCTTCCAGAGGGAGTGTGCCCTGCCAACATCTTGATTTCAGACTTCTGCCTCCGGCTCTGTGGGACGATCGATTCCTATAGTTTTAAGCCACCGGTCCGTGGTACTGTGCTACAAGAGCTATAAGAAACTAATCCAGAAAGAAAAACTGTTTTAGCTACAGAAGAAATTGGGAGCGAAGACCTAAACCAGATATGAGACAGTTATATGAGAATAAGAAGACAGCTACAAATAAGTTCTGGGAGTTTGAACCTATTTAGGTCTTAAATTCAGCATTCATACTGCAAAACTAGGGACGATAGCAGTTAGTCCCTAAGGCTGTAGGTGGCATATAGTCTGCACACCATAATAACTATACATAAGTTATTACTAGGCACAGATTGTATAGTATGATTAGCTGTTACCCATTAATCTATGAGTACAAAGTGGCAATCAATTATCACTGTGTCAGGTCTGAGATTTTCACACCTTCACTCCTCCGAAGGCAATGTTGGTGGGCAGTCTGCTGTCACCCTAGGACAGTGGTCCTCAACCGAAAGCCATCTGGTCCCCCAGGAAACTGTGACAGTGTCTGGCGACATTCTGGGTTGTCACACCAGGTCGGAGCGCTAGCAGCGGGTGGACGGCAGGAAGCTGCTGAGACGCCGCACAGAGCACAGGCAGCCCCCACCCGAGAGTCGTCAGGTCTCGGTGGACTTGAGTGGAGAACTCGCCTGCAAACGCGCCCAGGAAATCTGAGATGAAAGCTTCTCCTCCACAACAGTCGAACTGATCGTGTATCCTTCGAGATGTGGTGGAAGAGGCTATTCGTACAGTGACTCACTAACAGCCCAGAGTTCATGGAAACTTTAAACTTCCTTTCGATTTTCTAAAAAGAAAGGGAAAACTCCTGCCCTAGAAGACAGCCCGGGGTCAGAGTGCTGAGACCTAGCAGTAACTGGCTCTGCACAGTGGAGGCGGCCGCACACCCCCGCCATCTGCAGAACATACTCAGCACAAACCACCTGCCAGACTGGGGAGGAGGAGGAAGAGGGACTCTCCTCCCAAGCTGTCTCTGCCGGTAGCCAGGGAGCCTCCCTGAAGCGCCAACCCCTGGAGACCCAGCAGCAAAGCTCCCTGACTGAGCCCTGGAATGGCAATTAGGCCGTGGGCGGCTGTCAGTGCTACAGAGGCGGCCCAGGTGGCCATCGTTTATCTGGACGTCATGGCCAAGCCTGAACGATGGCTTCTTTCAAAGCTGCCTCCTCTCCTTCACTGCTGCCTCTGGCATGTGAAGCATTTGCAGTTGCCTCCTTGAAGCTGCAGAGTAAATACGGCTGCACATACTGTACATTTTTAACCAAGCCTGTTTACCAAGCGGTGCTCCGCTTGTCCACTCTCACCACACATTCAGGTCACAGCCAGCCTGAGCCTCCACGGCCGCGCCCCGAGTCCAGAGCACCTGAGAAACAGGGTGAGCTCGATGTCAGGGCAAGAGACTTCCAGTTCTGGTAAAGGCGACGTGAGGCTCTCTGGCTGCCCCTCCACTGGGGCTGTACACTGTGCTCTTCCTTTTACTACAACGCAAGTTCAAACGTACCTGAGCAATACATGTGGGAGACCTAGGAAAGCAACATTAAATGTAATGGCAAGATCTCCTATGGGGAGAAAAGTACTCTGGTAAATAGAACAGCATACACCTTAATTCTAACTTTCAAAAGTCTGTATTTATTGGGTAGTTCTATGCAAGTTCAAGAATAAAAGTCGCCCCAGCTGGTGTGGCTCAGTGGTTGAGTGTCGACCCATGCACCAAGAGGTCGCCAATTTGATTCCCGGTCAGGGCACATGCTGAGGTTGTGGGCCTGATCCCCAGAGGGGGCATGCAGGAGGCGGCCAATGTTCTCTCTCATTGATGTTTCTCTCTTTTTCAAATTAATAAAGAACAACAAAAAAAGAATAAAAGTTGCATTATACTGGTTTAAATGCCCTTAATAGTTCCATCAAGTCACTGAAAACATCACAATTAAAACTATATTATATTTAAAATCAGTTTGATAAACTGTATCATTAAAATAAAAGTTTTAGGTTCTGGCCGGCTTGGCTCAGTGGTAGAGCATCAGCCCTCAGACCAATGAGTTCTGGGTTCGATTCCAGCCAAAGGCACATACCTCGGTTGCAGTTCGTCCCCGGCCCTGGTCGGGGTCACGTGGGAGGCAACCAGTTGATGTGTCCCTTTCACATTGATGTTTCTCTCTCTCTCTCTCCTCTTCTCTCCCTCTCTCTCTACCTGAAGATAAACAGAAAAATATCCTCAAGTGAGGATTAAAATAAATAAATAAAAATAAATAAAATGAAAGATTTAGGTAAAGCTTTTCGTCCCTTGAGACAGAGCACATATTTCAACAGCTGGAAAATGTCACAAGTCAAGGGTTCTGGCATTTGAAGAGTCACATATATAATTACTCTTCCCTAAAAACAAAACATCTCAAAGAAAGCCAAAAAAACATGCTATCTCATAGGAAACCAACAAAACACAAAAACACACAAATTATAATGTCTCTTCAATCTTTTATTTATAAAACGTACTTAGCTACTAGAACTATTTAAACTGCCCCAAGGTAAGAGAAATCATTTCTTGTTAAAGTTATGAAAACACAATTTTCCTAAGTATGAAAAATAATCACCAGCATCTTTATGTATTTATCATAGTTGTATTATGGCGTTTCAGGGCAGACCATCCAAAGTGTGCGTTTCAGCTAGACTGCCAACAGCTGAAATCACTCATAACACAGTCTGACTAAAAGGAGCAAAAAGCAGAGCTCAACCTCTGCTGCTTTTATTTTTATTTTTTATTGAATTTATTGGGGTGACATTGGTTAATAAAATTATATAGGTTCCAGGTATACAATTCTATAATACACATCTGTACACTGTATTGTGTGTTCATCACCCCAAGTCAACTCTCCTTCCATCACTATTTATTCCCCCTTTACCCTCCTCCCCTCCCTCCACCCTCCTTTCCCTCTGGTAAGTAATCATCATATTGTTTTCTGTGTCCATGAATCTTTCTTTTTCTTCCTTTGCTTAATCCCGTCACCCTTCTCACCCAGCCCCTAAGCCCGCCCCCTCTGACAGCTGTCAGTCTGTTCTTTGTATCCATGAGTGCATCGCCGCTTGGTTAGTTTATTTCGTACATTAGATTCCACATGTAAGTGAGATCATATGGTACTTGTCTTTCTCTGACTGGATAAAACATTTCACTTAGCATAATACTCTCCAGGTTAGCTTGAATATTTAAGCTAAAATGTCAGCAATTAACAAGTAGAATTTAAATAATTTGATACATTTGAGCATTTCTTTTACATATTCCTAGAAGTCCGCTTCCACGATTCTCTTCACCTTGTCTAAACTGTGCCCCATGAACCACCCCCTTCTACTATATGCCAGCAATTCCTCCCACTGGCATTGCCTCCCCATGTGGAAATAACAGATTTATATTGTGTTCAGTGCACATTCTGGGAAAGACGGAATATTTATGAAGGACCAGCAGGAAAGTATTTTACAATTCTCCATATACTGAGTATAGTTAATAAAGACAGTTCCCTAGAGAACGGCAGAGCTGAGGGGAGTGTGTATGTGTGTGTGCGTGTGCGTCTGTGTGTGCATGTGTGTGTCTATGTGCATGTGTGTATGTTGGTGTGTGTGCATGTGTGTGTGTATGTGTGTGCTTATGTTTGTGTGTGTGTATGTGTGTGTGGGATATGTATGTGTGTGTGTTTATGTTTGTGTGTATGTGTATGTGTGTGTTTGTGGGTGGGTGTGCGTGCGTGTGTTTATGTTTGTGTGTATATGTGTGTGTGTACGTGCGTGTGCGTGTGTGTTGGGAACAAATGCTGTAACAATGAGCCTTGTCCAGGATTCCTCCTGGATGTGTCCCTAGAGCAGGACATGAATACACAATGAGAAGTCTGGGGCTGGAGGCACAAACACGCTGCCAACCGAATGATTTACTTCCTGTTCCCTTCAGAAGAGTCTTGGAGCATCGCCAGCATCCTCCCAGTCACGGGAAGGCTTTGGACTAACAATCACTAGGAGCAGTGGGTTTGAAGCTGAGCGACGAACGAGGAGCCCCAGCCCTGCACTCCGGCTTGTCCTCACCTACAGGCAAGGTTCTACGGAGAACAAGTCTGGTCAACGCAGGCTGGGAAGAACAAGAGTGTGGCCTCCCCAGAGACGTCATGAGAACTCAGTGACACAAACGCATACAAGCTCACAACAGTGCTTTGCAGCTCACTAGCGCCTGGCGAGAATGGGGATGCTGGTCACCATCGGGTCTTACCTGGACGGGGAATTGAAAGCAAATGAAGCGCAGGCGCGACTGTGACTCCATGCGTAGAACCGACACACCTAACATTTCAGCTGTGAAAGGGCCATCCCCTCTACCAAGCATCTGAATGGCAGAGCCTTGAACCTGGACCCACAGCGAGCAACAGCACAAGGAGGCTTACCTCTTCTTCTTGGTGATGATGAGCACGTCGTTAAAGAGGAAGAAGTAGACTTGCTGCTTGGACATCCGCCTTGAGAAGAGCACGGTGTCTTCCACGAAGGCCGTCAGCTCGCCTCTCTTTACCAGCCACCGGGAGGAGGAGACTAGAGGGAAGGGCTACAAGAGGAGAAGCACTCAGCAGCCAAGGCAAACGAGAGCACTTCACGTCGCCGAGGGTGAAACACACGGCTTACCCTCAAACAAAGCCTACGTACCATGGCACGCAGCATTACTGTATAGGGACATCATAATGAAATATACTTAGAGAAGCCCAGTAATTCTCCAATAGAAAATGAAAAAGAACGTGTTTTCAATATTTAAAAAAACTATTAACCTGCCTATATGCAACTAAACTCAATGAGAAAATGTTATTGGGTCAACCAGAAGGTATTATGTTACCCTTCCATTAACTCTCAGCTGAAAAAGAAGATTGATAAGGAGTCACTTGAAACTGACAAGCCTCAAAATGAAACCTATCTGTCTCAACTGCCCATTATTTTAAATATCACAAATCAGAATCTAAACATTCAGAAAAACATAGGTAAGTGTATTTAACAAGGGACTATAAAGGTCTGCATTTACTTTATGAACTAAAGAGACTTCATTCAAAAGGAAAAAAAAATCCTCCCAAATGTGTAATTTGTCTACTGATTATTTACTTAGCCATATTCTAAAGAACACCTGTTCTTAAGTTTATGGTAGTTTTCCCTATGGGAGTTCACTCCTAAAAGCATCATGCCATTTTCTGGTCGGGAAAATGAAGTATTCCCAAAATAATCCATCTTGATCTTGTAGAAAAGGCTGGATATAAGAAATTACATAGTTTTTCAAAAATTCAGTTTCTAGTTTCCGACTGGAAAACGCTCAAAACCACAAAATAATCCTTACCCTTGAGAGCTCTTTTTTTTTTTAAGTTACCAGAAATGCTTACTGCCAAAACCTGATTTAAATCCATAAAATAAGCAGACGTTCTTAAGTCACACAAAACATAACTGCAGTGCACCCAAATGTCATCCTTTTCAGGGAATACTGATTAAAAATAGCTAAAGGAAATTGAGGATATTAGGGAGGAAATAAGAAAGCTAAGAGGGTTTCATTTTAACTTTGTAAAGGACTTTTATAAGCAGGTTGCTCAATTAGGTACTGTTTTCCTGAAGGTTTAAAAAGGAAGATGAAACATTTTGGCTGACCTCACACTTTCAAAACTTGCTATTAAGGGAGTTCATAGGGTTTCCAGCCCCCAAATCTCAAATCAGACAATTATCCAACAGGAATGGCTGAACTCTGAAAGGCTGCCAGACAAATATTACTTCGATAGCTCTGGAGAACTCCACCAGCACACAGGAGGTCACCACAAAGAACCGTGTGTCAGGTATGTAATTACTGGGAACATGGTGCTATCTTGCTAACGCATGTCACCCCACCGGGTGAACCAAGGACGGTTTTATGGTTAAGTGCCAATGTACTGTACATGCCACCCAAGGCTGTTCTTAGTTTAGCGGCTGCAGAAAGGAAGTTTTAAAAATTGTTTTGTTGTTTTTTAAACAGATTAACTTTTATGGACTCATCATACTCCACTCGGCAAAAGTAAATTTCTAATGAATATCTAAAATTGACAGTGGCTTTCAATATGTCTATGCCTCTTCTGAAAACAAACATCCAATATTATAAGTGGTTTTTTTGTTTGTTTCAGAATGTATTGTTAGAAGATGAAACTCATTCGATAGTCTATTTTTTTAAAAGAAGAAACTATGAAAATGACCAAAAGAAAAGAAGAATCTGAACAACTCAAAATGGACATAAGTGAATTGCTGTAGTCCAGAAACTCTAAGACTAAAATCCAGGTGTAAATAAAAAACTAGATAAGAAATTCATGAACAAAAATATATCGCTACAAGCACTGACATGATTCCTCTGGAGAAAAGACATTTATCCTTCTGTGTGTGACTTGGCATCCTAGAAAACTGGCTTCAGCATGAAATTCAATTAATTTCATGGGCCAATAAGACCAGGAAGAGCTGTTAAAGAGCATTTTTTTTTTCTAATTGAGATAAAATTAATCATTTAGCCATTTAAAAGTATACATATAATTCGCTGGCTTTTAGTACACTCACAATGTTGCGCAATGGTCACCACTACCTAATTCCAACATTTTCATTACCCTGAAAAGAAACCCCACATGCGTTAAAGAGTCACTTGCCACCCTGCCCTCCCTAAGGCCCTGGTAACCACAATTCTGCCTTCTAACTCCATGGGTTTGCCTATTCTCGGCATTTCTAATAAAGGGAATTATACAATATGTGACCTTCTGAGTCTTACTGCTGTCACTTAGCATGTTTTAAGGTTCATCCATGTGATAGCATGTAACAGGACTTCGCTCCTTTTCATGGCTGAACACTATTTTGTTGTATGGGAATACCACATTTTGCTTATCACTTCACCAATTTTGTTGATGGACATTTGGGTTGTTTCCACTCTTTTTGCTATAATGAATAATGTGGCCCTAACCATCTGTGTGCAAGTTTTTATTTGAAAACTGTCTTCAGTTCTCCTGGGTATGTACCTAGTAGTGCAATTGCTGGGTCATGTAGGAATTCTGTTTAACTTTTGAGGAACTACCAAATTGTCTCCTACAGTGCAAAGACTTTTTAACACCGTAAGAGTTCTTCATTTTGTCTGTTTTATCTTCAGCTTCTACTTGCTAGGAAGGCCTTCAAACACCAACCATCAAATCCATCCTACAACCACCACCCACCACCCCACATAATCACACTTAATTTATGGCTCATGAAGTAGCCTTACAATGGTCAACTTCTCCATGGGCTAATTTATAAGGTCAAACTTTCCATTACAAGGCCATAAATAATCCTTCCCAACTCCATGGAGGCAACTTTTAGAGAAAGCTCATCTAGTGAGAAAACACTGGTTTGAGGCACAGCTATACTTAGCCCTGGCCTCTGATCTTAGTTTGGTGACCCGCGTTTCCCTACAACCCTTACCACCTTCTTTCCCACCCATCGAGCGTGGATGAAAAATCAAACCTGTTTGAACTCTTTCACACCCATTCATTCTTTAACAAGAGGCAGCACACCCACGTGGCCTGTGAAACCATCTGGCAAAGCATCTGAATGAATCAGGTCTTTACCAAGTCCTCATCTATTAGTTAATTTCATTCACATAATAACTCCATGAAGAAAAGCACTATTATTATCACCCCATTTCACAGTTCAGAAAACTAAAACAGGAAAGCTAAGTTCTGCCCAAGGTCGAACAGCCAGCAAGCAGCGGAGCTAGGAAGGAAACTCAGGCCAGTTCCACAGTCCACGCTTTTGATTGATTCTGGCTTCCTAAGGCCCAGCCAGGGGGGTCTTTCTCCTCCTCTCAGATCACCACTGCACAGCACATGACACTCTTCCAAGGAACTTATGCATTTAAAAATAAAAAACATATACAGGTGCATTGTGTATATACACACATACATACATATATACATCACACACACACACACACACACATATATATATATATTCACACACACGCACCCACAAGCTTTTCCTCCCCTTCAAGTCAGAAAGAGACCAGCACCGTTACGCTGTCATTGCTAAGAACGTGGGGTCTGGAGTCACCTGCAGGTCTGAACCCAGACTTCAACACCTCCCGATGTATGACTGAGCAAAGTGGTATCTCTAACTTCAGATTCCTCAACTATGAAATGGGAATAACAACAGGATACTTCGTGGGGATCCTGTGAGAATTCGATGAGACTATGTGAAAATGCCAGGCACACAGTAAATACTCAATAAATATTTTATAGTAGCAGCAGCTATGGTGGTACCATGAACCAAATACGGTCAGCACAGAACTCACTAGTTTTCCCTCAATGTCCTTCCTCTCCGTGGGTTCCCCGCCTCAGGAGTCAGTGTGACTCCACCCAGCCACCTGACTAGACCCCAGTGGCACCACCACTAGACTGCCCCCCTCCGCCTCCCTGCACACCTGCTTCAAGCCTCCTCACTGGTTTTCTGTCTCCGGTCTCCCCATGTCCCGACTCACCTCCACAGAGATGTCGTAATACTTTTTTAAGTAATAAATTTAATTTGGGGTGTGTGTGTGTGGGGGGGGGTGAGTAGTATAAAAAAAGTGAATACTATAAAAAAATGTTAGGGGACGAACTTCCTGCCTGCCCTGTTCCTCACTGCCCATCCCCACGCTGACTACTGCCCCCCACCTGCCCGCCACAAGGTAGTAACGTATCGGTTTCTGCTGTCAGTTTCCAGAGATTTCTTATAATACGCAAATCTTGTATTATTTTTTCCTACTGTTCTGCAGCTTACCTTTTTCACTTAATAACATATAAGAAAGCTTTTCATATCAGTATGTAAAATTCTCCTTCGTTCTCTTTAAGTTGAATGGCATTACTCTATCTGGTTGTACTATGATGTATTTCATCGGTGCCCCACTGGGTGGTTCCTAATCTTCTGTAGTTAGAAACACTGCCGGATGAATATTGTGTGTGTCACAGAAACGTACATGTATGTGTGTATGTGTAATCTCACACGTTCATGAGTGTATCTATAGGATTCAGTCTTAGAAGTAAAATTACAGGGTCATGGTAACTTGCACTTGTAATTTGATGGTTACTGACAAATTACCTGCCACTGGGGATATAATATCTTTTCCATCAACAACATAGAAGAGCCCTTCCCTATAACCTCACTAATAAGCGTTACCAAACTTCTGAATTACTTATAAATCTAATAGGTAAAAGACTCTAATTTTAATTTCAATTACCAATTTTCTTCTGAACGAAGTGAAGCCACTTATCAAAAGTTTACTATTTACTTGTACTTCCTCTTCTGGCAGCATCTTTCTAGTCTGCAATATTCTAATGTGTTTTTCCCCCCTTATCTATTTCTTATCACTTTGAATTTATATGTTGGGGATATTAACCTTGTCTAAATGTGACTTGTAAACATCTTTTTCTAGTTTGATATTTTCACTTTTCACTTCTTTGTTTATGGCTTTTATTTTTGTTTGTCCTATGGAAAAATTCTTACATGAATTTATCAGTTTTTCTTTTAATGACTTCTGGATTTGGAATAAGTCGCAAGACTGTTCCCATGTGGCTAAAGTCATCTTTACTAAATGCACATCCGATGGTGTCACCTCCCTGCCTCAAGGGCTCCCACCTGACCTTGCTCAGCTCTCCACACACAAGACCCTCCCAGGAGCAGCTTACAACACCCGTTCTGCCCTGATGCCCTGCACCCCGAGTCTACCTGCACTGCATACAGGCTCTAGGCTACAGCAGCTGAAACCGTGTGCTGTGACTGTTTCTGCCTCTTCCTCCTGGGAGACACTTCCTAACTCACCTTTCAAGATTCAGCTCACACATCCCTCCAGTACGAAGCCTCACCTGGCTGCTACAAGCTCCCTCCCCTCCGTCCCTCACTCTTAGGGCTGAGCACTCCCTTCCATTCAGTCCCCACCTACCATCGCCAGCTGCAGACTTTGCTCCTAACTTCTTTGTATTTCTGTAATTTCCTGAGACTGTAAGCTTCCCTAGCGCAGGGACCAAGTGTTTTCCCAGTGCCTTCCACAAAGAGGGGGCTCGGTGAACCTGCAGGAAGAATGCATGTGCTTGGATAGATCATCTACCTTCTCTGAACATCTGTCTTCTCATCTTCTCAACGAATAAAAATGGCCATTGTTATCCATACAGTGTTATGAAAACAAGGTCCTAAGATTTTATTTAGTGTTTCTTAATGGTCCAGATAAAGTGCTTCATTATAAATCTAAACTTAGAATCATTTCCTTTCAGCTTGCAAGTATTTTCATCATTGAAGCAAAAGAAAACCACCAACCAAAAACTCCTGAACTCAATCCATGTTGATCACTTACTTTCAGGAACCTTTGGGGTAAGCATTTTTCAATTACAAATTAACTTTGGGTTCTAGAAAAAGAAAGCTTAAAGATATCTTAAATCAATTGATTTTTTTCAGTAAAGAAAGAAAAAGAAAAATGCTTAGGGAAGAAATTTATCATCTTTAAAAAGAAAAATGGTTCGGCATTTATCATCGTTGAAAGGAAAATGGTTAGGGATTTGCCATCTTTAAAAGGAGGAGATAAAAACACAACAGTAAAAGCTTCTGATGTCCAGATGTATATATATTTTCTCTCTTTTTTTTTCCCCTTGGGGAAAGGTGAGATTTTTCTTCCTCAACCCCAGGGAGGAGGTGGTCAGAATAGGTCCAGATAAAAGGACCCTCATAGGTATGGACTAAAAAAAAGTAACTTTTAACCTAAGGAGACTGCTAAATTTAAGGAAAGAAAAAGCCCCAGACGAGGAATTAACTTAGACTTGACTTTGATGCCAAGCAGGATGTGATGTTGGCCACATCACCTCCTCTCCCTGGGCCTTAGTTTCCCCTGCTGTCGCTGCACTGAAGAAACTGGTGCCAAAGGCATGATCATGGTGGCTGGAACGTGCCTTAACTCTAAGCTACTCGAAAATGTCCAGGAAAATTAAATGCCCTGGTGGCAAAAGAAAGACACTGCTATTATGTGACTCATGCGTGAGATCTGATGAGAGCACAGGGCTAGCATGAGGCAGGTGTGGCTGAAGCAGGCGAAAGAAAGCGTGCTGGTGGTCCAGTCTGATGGTTGGTGACGTCATCCAGGCGCTACGGATGGGGGGATTTGCTTGCTGTGGGGTGACACAGTAAACCCATTCCTCCACGCAGTGGAGATAGGAGCCCCCAGCATTTCCCAGGAGAAATATTGTAATCAAGGCTAATTTTACTTTTGCTGTGGATGACATTTCTCAGCTAAACTAATCACCAGATGTATTTTCTACGATATTTAGAAACACATTTCAGAGGACAAAATTCTTTTTGAGGGATGGGAGAAAGACGGGTACTGACATTGCTGTGAATTTCTGTTATGAGGACATCATAACTGTTCAACGTGTTTGTGTGCCTTTGTGTTGTTTTTAACAAGCACCCATCACTATCTATTCCAAGAAGATGATGGTTCAAGTTTCTGCAACTAAACCTTTCTGTCGGGAAAGAGCTCACACTAGTCTGTGGTCAGGACGGGACCCAGGTTTCCTCATTCTACCACCACTAGCCAAGTGACCCTGTGAACGAGGAATTATTCTCTGGGCATTGTTCTCCTCATTTATAAAACAAACGGCTGTAGCTGTGCTCTATCGGTGATCCTCACACTATATGACAAGGCAGGGAATCCGCGCTCTGCAGCGGGCCACGAAATGCTGACCACGAATTCTGCTGCACAAATTAGGAACACTTTTACTATAAAAAACAAAATGACCTGTCATTTTAAGTTCCTTAATGAAATTTACATGGAGTAAAACAAAACAGAACGACAATTGTGAGCATTCACATCCGTTACGGACTCAGCTGCAAACCAACAAAGGCTGAGCGTGGCCAAGCTTCGCCGTTAACTGTCATTTTCTCCTTGGTACGCCTTGTCTCCAGCTCCTGAGCAGGAGCAGACACCAGGAACGGGCGGCACACGGTCAATAAAGAATTATGGGAGGAAAACAAATTTGCAAAGAACAATCTACAGACAATCTTTTTCCTGCACCCCGGACAAGGAGTGTCCTTATTTGACTTGGGAGAACACCTTGGTCCAGTTCCTGGGACATGATACCACTGTTTTGCAGAACACTGAGAATCTAAAAGAAATCTCCTTTCCATACTAAAGCTCAATTGCTTTTAACTACCCTTTCTAGTTAGATACTACCTAGCTCCGTGGCCTGCAGAAAGGGCACTTTATCAGGCATGAGCAAGAGTAGAACTGCCCTCAGCATGTGCTACTCCCTCCGCCAGCCCCTCTCTAATCGATTTATGGCCCTTCTTTGAAAAGTCAAATCCTATTCACTTTGACTTGAGCAAGAGCAGTAACAAATCTGTTTATGAAGAAGTGCGAGGATACCTTGATTTTAAATTCCAGCTGGGAGTTAATCGTGTACATCATTTCCGTCCTTTCCATCTTCCGGGCTCCTTCATTGCACAGGCGAACCAGCTGGGAACACAGAAAAATAAGGAGGGTTCAGAGGTCAAGGAGAGAAGCCTCACTTTCAAATGCAGATCTCGCCCCGGAAATAATTAGCACTTAGGAAGCTCCAGAGACTCCCTCCTGACACTTAAAGAACTCAGTTCGACACAGTTAAGACATTGTCCTCAGTGAGAGGTGGTGTCATTAGGATGTAAAGGCGGAGGGGGGAAAAGATCCTGAAAAATGTAGGGACACATAACCCTCACGTGTTCTTATTAATCCGCCCTCCACGCATGCCTTCCTCACACAGGTCTGGTCCCTGAGCCTTCTGCTCTTTCCTGGCCCCTCCTCCTGCCCTCGGCCTGTGGGAACCTGGCCCAGCCTGGGGCGCTGCGCTTTCTCCTCCTCCTAAACCAGAGCAGCTGGAGGCAGATTAGCACCATCAAAGGCAAATTCTAAGCAGAGGGGGACTGCACACCATATGACCAGTCAACAGACGCTGAAACAGGGCAGTCCTCACTGGGGTGGACCCCTATGGTCAACAATTCGTCAAGGATGGCCAACCTAAGGGAAATTCACTTTAATTAGAACTAAGGAATGATCTACCACCAAACGCATTCACAGGCCTTTGGTGAGGGCCTGAGACACTGCAATTTATAGTAAGAAATCTGTCGTTGGTCTTTGTCCATCGTTCCCGGCACATAGCATCTAAAAACCTTTGTAATTTCCTCTGTAGGAGCCATAGGGCAACTTTAATTATAATATGATGTTTATTTATAACAAGCCCCTTTCAACAACACTTGAGTTTGTGAATGAGGTCACCTTTAAAATGAAAGGGAAAAATAAAATCAGTAAAGTTTGGGTCATCATCTTCTTTCTAAACTTCCGAATGCCAACTCCATCAGCAGAAGATGGGGTCGGGCCACCCCTGCAGGAGCACCTGCTCCAGAAAGCGCACCAGAAACAAAGCGGGTCCCCAAAGCCGCAGGCATGGCGTCATCTGCGGACTCGTTTAACAAGGTTTGAAGGCACAAGCACTAATTTGGATAAGGGTGGCCAGGCGAGTTTACTAAAATAAGCCTCAGTATATTAAAGTTGTGCCTTCTTTCAGCATCTTTCAAAGCTCTATAAAATTTAACTCACTGATCTTTTGTTTTAAGCCAAGTTTATTTGAAAAAAAAGAAAGGTCCATCCCTCTAATAAAAAAAATGTAAATGAAAACAAAAATAAAAAATTTTCAATCTGTCAAATTCACACAGATTAAAGGAATATTCTATGTCAGGAAGTGACCAATGAGACACACACAGTTCTAGTGATTGTGGACATGGGGACAACCTTTCTTGAAGGCACTTGGGGACCTTTAAGACATGCCTGCATTTTTGTCCGATAAACCCACTCCTAGAAATGTATCTTTAGAAATAATCAGATGAGCACGGTCATCTATGGCAGAGAAAGTGCCCTGCAGCACGACTGAGTAAATGGAACGGGTACACGTGATGCACTCTGAGTGAACATTCACCTCGCACACACCGGTACCGAACAGAACCCATCGGAAGGCTACACAGAGCGGCAGCAGTCATTATCGTTGATAACATTATTGACACATTTTAGTTTCTGTCTCTTATTTGAGTTTTCCAAATTCCCTGCAATGTGCAGTCACTTTTTAAAGAAAATATACCTTTGTAAACCTTAAATACATTCTTACAGAGCAGGACTTGGACTGAAAAAATAGAAACCTATTCATACCTCCTTCCACACCCCTCTCCCTTGACCTCAGGCCACTGTGCTTGACGTCTGATGTGTACGATTCCGGGACTATTTCCGTACACATATAAACACACTTTATTATCCAGATTTCATCACACTATTTGTATTATTCTTAAACTTCATGTTCCTCACTTAGTAATACAGCTCCATGATATTTTCATGTTAACGAATATACATCTGCCCTTTGTAAACGGCTGAAGCAGTAAGTTACAGGAAAAGATTAAAGTGACCAGGCTATCTTTCCACTGGGAGAAGAGCTTACAAGTTAACACTATCTCCAAATATAAGTAGAACTTTACGAGGTGAGACTTAAAGCAGTTCTCCCTTTCCACGGGAGTAGAGAGAGCAGCTGAGACTTCACTGGTCTACAAAACCATGGTGGTTACCAGACAGTGGGGGAAGTTGAAGAGGGTGAAGGGGGATAAATGGTGATGGAAGGAGACTGGCTTAGGGTGGTGAACACACAATACAATATACAGATGGTGTATTATAGAACTGTACACCTCACACCTGTATCATTTTATTAACCAATGCCACCCCAATAAATTCAACAAAAATTTTTTTAAAAAGAAACTATCTTTTGACCACCACTCCTTAAACACCAGACAGCATTTTACACAAGCTGAACTATCAGATTTCCTCCAAACCTCCCTCCCCCAGCTCCACCCCAGCATGTGAACAGAAAACCAGGAAGTAAACATATTTTTCACTTAACAGAAATATCGTTCTTGTTTTTGAGTTGTTTGACTAAGCCCCAAATTCAGTTAAATTGCCACAGTCACTTCAACAACATTCATGAGCAATTCCACTGAAGTATTATTTACACTCTACAAATAACTTTCATTAGCATTTTAATTACCAAAGAGGTATTACTCACTTTTTTCCTAGAAGGAATAACTATGTTGAGAGACTTACGGAAAAGCCTAAGTTAGAGTCTGGCTGCGAAAACTTGGGCCTTGACATACCAAATGTCAGTCTCTAAAATAAATATTGGGAACTCCCAACAAACAAACGGAATTCTGCATTTTAATTACGAACCATGAATGCTCTATATGCACAATCTTTGTTGAAAATACTGGTGCCACTGTCCCAGAGTCTATCCAGTAACCTTCAAAAATGAAGAAGATCCACCCCTGAGCCGGATATACTGGTGCTCTGTTTCCGGACAGCACTAGAAGACCAGGCGTCACTCTGATACTCATGACACAACTGAGGCAAAGCAATGCAGCCCCACAGAGCAAACAAGTCCTGGAACAGCATTTCTCTCCGGGGGGCCTTTCACAGCCTCACAGCATCAGACAAGGCAAGTCACTGATCTCGACTTTGCCAGCCTTTTCTAGGAGAACTAGTGTCAATGAAGCGCATGAGATCCCCGAAGGAACAGTAACCAGGATGTGAAATGCTTGAAGAAAATTAAATGCCATTCCTAGTTCAAGTCAACAATCCATTACTCCCACCTTCCTCCTTTCTGTGTGATTTCAATTTTTTTAAATTTATTATTTTTTTCTTCTTTAGACAGAGTGGGAGGGAGGGAGGGAGGGAGGGGGAGAGGGAGGGGGGGAGAGAGAGAGAGAGAGAGAGAGAGAGAGAGAGAGAGAGAGAGAGAGAGAAATGTCCATGTGAGAGAAACACATAGATTGGTTGGCCTCCTGCACAACCCCGGCCAGGACCAGGAATCAAACCACAACCAAGGTACGTGCCTTTGACCGGAATGAAACCCACAACTCCCTGGTCCACAGGCCGATGCACTAACCGCTGAGCCCAACCAGCCAGGGCAAAATTTGACAAGCAAACCAAATTTGACAAACTTCTTGCATGTTGAAAGCTAAAACTTCTCTAGTAGCTACCCCAAAAGACCCCCACCCCTCGAGGGAGGCAGCACAGGGTTTGGGGCTCTGGAGGAGACCCGTTGGCAGCAGGCCTTTAGGTGATTTACACCTGTCACAGGCAGTTTCTTCACTTCATCGTTTGCCAGAGTGGGATGTGCAGGCCACGGATGGGGCAGGAGATCAATTTAAGTGGCCGACAGATTGCTCTTCTCTGAATGTTCATACGCCCTCCAAATACACACACTGAAATCCTAACCTTCAAAGATGGTGGTATTAGACGTGTGGCCTTGGGAGAGGCTTAAGGTCATGAGGGATTTTAGCAGCGAGCTCCCCAGCCCCTTCTGCCGGCGAGGACACACGAGGAGTCTGCAGCCTGGAAGAAGGTGCTCCACCGAGCATGCTGGCACCTTGACCTTGGACTTGTCAACCTCCAGAACTGTGAGAAACAACTTTCTGCTGCTTACAAGCCACCCAGCCTGTGATATTTTGTTCTAGCAGCCCAAATGAACAAAGACACAGCTAAACTTACTTTTAATACAAAAATAAACAACTAGCTCATAAAACCCATGATTTTTAAAAATTATTGGCAAGGATGAGGATTACTAAAATTGAGTCAATTTGAAGTTCGTTAAACAGTACAGTCGTACAAAGATATACCAAATTCAAAAGAGGTACATGGCTTTGCTACGTTTGGGAAGCTTCTGATGCCCTCAGTATAATTACATATCTCTGCTCAAGCCTAGCCCAGAGAGTATCCTCACTGACGTGCCTACCATCACTGCCTGTCAGCTACATATTCTCAGCGGCATTTAAACATTTTTCTAATCTTTAAACAAAAGAGACCCCCGTTCCCTTCCCTTCCAGGTACAGCTCTGCCTCTCCCCACTCAGCCCCACTGCGGAAACAGCTGTCTGGCTGCATACTCACTCCCTCACTCCTTAACATGCTCAGATCTGCTCCCCACACCCTTCACGCAGGAACACGGTCTGCCTGGTGATGACCCAGTGGACGCTTCACTCACTGTTTCGCCTTCTCTTTCAGGAGCACTAGGCTGACCGTCCTTCCACCAGATCATCTATTTTGCAGACCATTACGGTTTTCCTCTTTCCTTAGTATGTTCTGCTCTGATTTTTTTTAAAATAATTTTTATTTCTTTATTGATTTTTTTAGAGGGAGGAAGGGAGAGGGAGAGAGAGACAGAAACATCGATGAGAGATAACTTCGACTGGCCACCTCCCGCATGCTCCCTACTGGGGATTTGGCCCACAACCTGGGCATGTGCCCTGACTGGGAATCGAACCGGCGACCTCTTGGTGCATGGGTCAATGCTCAACCACTGAGCCACACTGGCTGGGCTCTGTTCTGATTTTTAAGTCCCCTCTGCTGGTTCCTTTTCCCTGAACAAGATGAATATTGGTGTTGTTCATGGTTCTATCTCAGACTCATTACTTTTCTTCTTCTACACACTTTCTGGGTAATCTCAGCCACCCTCCCAGCTTAAAAAATCATCCACATGTGCCCTGGTGGTTTTGCTCAGTGGTTACAGCGTTGGCCCACAGACCGGGGAGTCCGGGGTTCGATTCCTACTAAGGGCATGTACCTCGATTGCAGTTCGTCCCCGGCCTTGGTTGGGGTTGTGTGGGTGGCAACTAATCAATGTGTCTCTCTCATGTCGATGTTTCTCTCTCTCTCACCACCTCCTGCTCTCTCTCATGTTGATGTTTCTCTCTCTCTCTCCACCTCCTGCTCTATCTGAAGATAAATGCTCTATCAGGTAAGGAAAAAAAGAGAGAGAAAAAAACCATCCACATGTGATGATTCCCAAATTCATGCCTCCAATTCCAGTGTCTCCACTGAGCTCCTGACCTGGTTATTCGGCCAACTTGGCCACCCTACAGGAATCTCGTTGACACCATATCCCAAAGGGAACTCATTAGCTTCCCTCTGTTTCTCCTGTAGAGATGAGTAAGAGCGACTATCTAGTTGCCCAAGCCAGAAACTATATTCCTTGGCGTCTGACCTCAGTATGCTCACCCCTTCAATCTCCATGACTTCCTCCCCAAAATGACAGGTTTGCTTCTCTCTATCCTTCTATCACATCAGTACACACCAGTGCCATCTCCAGACTAGTCAACTATAAAAAGCCTCATAACTGGTCCCCTCCCCACTGTCACCTTCACAACTCATGGATTTGTAGTTTCCACAGCATCTTGGGATAAGGTGCACCATTCCTAACATGGCTCCCCAGTACTGTCTCCTAGACCAGGCTCTACAGTCACATGAAGAACATTCCAGTTCTTCAAATGCTGCAAATATGTTCTTGCCTTTGGGTTTCTATAAATACCCGAGACACCCAATCCCTGGCTTAAAGCTACGATTGCTTTAGGTTCAGCTCGGACATCCCCATGTTCTTCTCTGTCTTGTCACTCAACGTCCTTTACTGTAATTCCTACTGAATGTCTGCCTTCCCCTTTACAGGGCACATTTCAAGAAGGCAGTGACCACAACTGTCTTGTCCATCACCGTATTTTCCAGGGCTGGTATCATGCCCGGCACAGTACCGATACACAATAAATACTTATTTAATGAGAGAATGAATAAACAGCTCTTCAGACACCACGAGAAAATGAGACACCTACTGACCCCTAAAGCAAGACTGTCTGGCACAGTAAAAACACACATTTCGTCTGAGTACAGCAAACATCATTTTGTTTTTCAGCTCTCTAAAGAATGCTGTGCAAATGGCCATGAGAATCTACCAATTTTCAGCATCAAACCCAGACATATTCTCTTCCAAGCTATTTGAATAGTTTATTGTCTGAGGAGCTACTCAACAAGTTACCTTGCTTACTTCCTTTAAGGCTCGTTTACAGACTTCATACTTCGGAGAATCCTTTGGTGTTTTTTGACAGATAGTCTGCAATGAAGTAAAAAAAGAAAAATCAACTGATTTGTTACATACATTAAAACCAAGGCCCAGACATAGCCATTTACTCCTAGCAAACTTAACAATGCTGAACATAGTATTATGGATGGGTACGACAATGCCATTAAAATCCAATTACAAAACTAGGAAATAGTCTTTAAACACACAGGATCCAAGTAAATCCAGGAAATAGTCAAATAAGAGGATAGATTTCGATGTTAGATGAATCTAATTTCAAGTCTGAGTTCTATCCTTTACTAGCTATTTGACCTTGGGCAAGTCATGACCTCTGTCTCTATAAGCCTCAGTTTCCTCATCTGTAAATTCAGGCTAATGCCAGCTACGTCACCAGGTGTCTGTAAGGGTTAAAAGATAATACATGTGAAGTTCTTTATGAGTGTCGGGCATACTGGAGGCCCTCAATAAGTAATAAAGTTACTTTAATTGCCATCATCATCATTAGGGATTAATTTTGTAGATGACATGATTCAATAAAAAGATCAAGAAAAAAAGGCTGCTAAATTTTCTCTTGATATATTTATACTGCAATTTTTGCAATAGTAAAATTGAGCTCAGAAAGGGTCAATTCAAGGTAAACTGAATTACATATAACTTTTGAAACTATACCCATTGAAGACCTACAAAACCATTTTAATTGTTAAAACTACTCATCTCAATTAGGCTTAACTCACCTAGAAACAAGTTTAAATCTCCAAATGGAGTAAAACTGAAGAGACAATGTTTTACACACACTGAGATTCTGCTTCAGGGCCCAGGTTCTCTCGCAGGAGAACAGGTTGGGGCCACGGGCAACAGGTGAAGGTGGAAGGCAGCCGGACCGAGCAAACCACCGGCACCTGCAATGCAGGTGAGTAGCAGGCCTGTAACCTGAGGCCGGGTGTCGGGACTGTTATACGTGATATGTCAGAAGAAACAGAGGGTGCCATCTGTGGGTTCATAGTAATGGTTCTCGAATATTTTGAATATGACCCACTGCAAGAAATCATTGAAACACTGCAACCAGTACACATACAAACAAAAATTAAACAAGATTTTTTTGTGAAATATTTAACATTATGAATCATGTACATATCATGTAGTATATGTTCTAAGTTTTTGAAAACAATGCTCATTTTCCAAAAAGCAATTTTATGACAACCTACCAGGTATGAAAGCAGTTTGAAAAATACTGGTTTCTGTCCCTGAGACCAGGCACCCTGAACTTGCAGCGTCTTCGCACACTTCAGTGCTGTGTGGACTTTGTGCATACTGAATTTCCTAGGGAGAATGACTACAGCTTTACTCAGAGTCTCAACAGGGTCTCTGACCCCCAGGAATCAGAGCTCCCTGGACAATAATGGCACAAACCTCCAACATGGCGAGTTAGATTTTGTGAGTCTCAATCTATTTGAGCAATTTTGCCAAAATTAAGGAGAGAATATAAACAGCAGTGAGATCGCGGTATATATGGAATCTAAGGAAATACGGCTAAAATGCATTTTCAGAAGAAGGAAAAGAAAGAACCCTGAAAATTCATAACATTACAAGAAATTTTACATTTAGAAAGCATCCATTTCTTAGTTAAAATAGTAAAGGTTGAAATATTTCCCTATATAACTCAAAGTTTCATTTTTTAGAAAAGTCTTAGAAGTCAATAATACAAATCTTTTTATTTACTGATTGGTTTTTATTTATTTTTTATTTTTATTTTTTGGTATGTGCCCCTAGTGGGAACCGAACCCGGGACTACTCTCTGGTTCGCAGGCCGATGCTCCAACTGCTGAGCCAAACTGGCCATGGAAATTGATTGATTTTTAGAGAGAGAGGAAGGGAGTGGGAGAGAGAGATGGAAACATCAATGAGCGAGAACATCAACTGGCCGCCTCCTGCATGCCCCCAACTGGGGATCAGGCCCACAACCTGGGCATGTGCTCTGACCAGGAATTAAATCAGCGACCTTTGGTGCATGGGTCAACGCTCAACCACTGAGCCACGCGGGCCAGGCACAAATCCTTTTTAAAATGACTTCTTTACTTCTGATAAATAAAGCACAGTAGTGGCTAAAAGGTTATCTTTGAAAAATTCACAGTACTACTATAACTCAGCACAAGCCTGTATACTATATTATTAATTTAGTCAAGAAACATTGTCTACTGCCAGGCTTAACATTTACTATTTAATTAATTTTCATGTCAACCCTGCAGGTACCTATTATCCTTATTTTCAGATGAAGCACTTTGCCTAGGATCACGCAGGTGGCAGAGAGAATTTGTACCTAGATCTGTCCTGTTCCAGAGCCACCGTGCTTCACGACACCAAGGTACACGTCAGAGTCCCTTCTCCCCAGTGCTGTGGGTTCAGGGCGAGGAAGCTGTGATCTGGTTGGGAGAGGGGGCGTATCGAGGAAGGCCTCATGAAAGGAGCGCTAGGGCTCGTGCTGGAAAGATGAGCTTGTTTTGCCCTGGCTGGTTTGGAGCGTCGGTCCGAGGTCCAGAGAGACCTGGGTTCGGTTCCCACTAAGGGCACATACCTAAGTTGCAGTTTTTCCCTGGCCCTGGTTGGGTTATGCGGGTGGCGACCATTCAATGTGTCCCTTTCACATTGATGTTTCTCTCCTTCTCTCCCCCTCCCACTCTATCTGAACAAAAAAAATGTCCTCGGGTAAGGATTAAAAAAAAAAAAAAGAAAGATGAGCTCGTTCTGATCACGTGCAAATGGAAGATTGAGAGGTGGAGGCAAGAACAACGTGAACAAAGATGCAGAATGGCAAAGTCAGGCCATATGTAGGGAAAGAACAAGTGAGGATGGAACCTGAAAATAAACCTTTTCTAAGTTGAAATTTGGTTTGGGTAACCTGGCTGCATTCTATCCATAGATATAATAAATATTGATCTCAAAAGAAAAAATCATCCTGGCCAGTGTGGCCCAGTGGTTGAGCATTGAACCCATGCACCAAGAGGTCACCAGTTCAATTCCTGGTCAGGGCACATGCCCAGGTTGTAGGCCAAATCCCCAGCGTAGGGTGTGATGGAGGCGGCCAATCAATGTTCCCTCTCATTGATGTTTCTCTCTCTCTCTCCCTCCACCTCCCTCTCTCTCTGAAATCAATAAAGAAAAAAAAAAATCAGAAAGCTAAATTTTAAAAACTCTGCAAATTTTCCAACATTTACGAGAAGTTCCTAACTTCCAGGCGAAGGATGGGGAGGGGTGTGAAGGTAGTGAGTAGACTGGGGTGACCTTGGAGAGCAGCAGGGTGCGGTGAGTTCTGAGATGATCATGAAAAGCTCCCCCAAACCTTGCAGCAGAGCCAACAGTGTGACCGTGACCGCACACTTGGACTCGTTACAAAAGTTCAGTGCTCTTTTAGAATATACTTAGAATTTATAATAGGCTATAGAAAACAGAATGTATTTTGTAATCTTACTCAATCATAAATTTTGCTATAGTTCCATCCTGTGTTTTGATTTGTACATCTCAAGCATGCTAAAATTGCCAATGTTATATAAGCATTACAATCCAATTTTAAAGTAGAACTATGACAAAATATTTCAGTTTGGTCAAAAGGACACTACTGGGCTCAGCAGCTGGGTGGCAGCTCTGCTGGGTCGCTCTGTTGTCTCAGATGCCCCTGCAGACCCAAGCGTGCAGGTCCCCCACCCACCGGCCACCTGTCCTCCCAGATGCGCTCTGTGCCAGGCTGTCTCTACTCACTTCTCCCAGGCCTGTCTTCCCACTATTCAGAATCAATACTCATTGCCCGAACGGTGTGGCTTGGTAGCTGAGCATCGACCCGTGCACCAGGAGGTCCACAGCCGGATTCCTGGCCAGGGCACATGCCAGGATTGTGAGCTCGATCCCCAGTAGGGAGCATGCAGGAGGCAGCCAATCGATGTTGATGTTTCTCTCTCATTGATGTTTCTATCTCTCTCTCTCTCTCCCCCCCCTCACTAAAATCAATAAAAAACATATTTACAAAATCAACACTCGTTTTCTTCATAAGTGTTCCCTGACCTAAGAATGACGCTGGCCGTTCCATACGCGCTCTCGGCAGTGCCAGACGGGGCCACGTGCGTGCCTGTCACGCTGCGGTCTCATTCCCACAGCAGCTTGGAACACTGCAGGAAGGAATATTAGTGACTGGCCCGAGGAAACTGCGGCCCACAGAGATGAAATGAGTTGCCCAAGGTCACAGGCCTAGTGGCTCAGCCAGAACAGGAATCCAGGACTCCTGACTTTAAGAAGTCCATATTCTTCCCATTTCAGAAAATGCTGAGTAATAGTATCTAAATTCTTCAGTGACCACACAAACCTAAATTGAAGATGATTTCCAAAGATACTAGACAAAAGTGAGACTTTCCACCCAAACAGCACCTTCTCACTTAATGGAGAGATTGCAAAGAGGGGTGATGCACTAATTTAAGTGGAGGAAGATTATTTTCTTAATCAGATTTATGGCACTACAGCTCTCCACAGAGGAAAGAGCCTCCCATCATGCCTTACGTCCATCAGCAAGGGAAGGCGAGTCACCCTCTGCATGGGGAGAATGAGGAAAGAGATCATGGGCAAGTTCCTACAGTCTTCGTGGGACTCGATTCTTGACAGCACTTCCTTAAAAGACGGATTGGTGGCTCTGAAGAAAACAAAGAAAGAAGAAACTTCAATATACTGCCTCTGCAAGTTAAGAAGCAAATAAAAATGGAGTATAAAATACTGCGATAGTTTTACACATGATCAACGATCTTTAAATATCTAGAACAACATAAACAAAACACATAAATGCCATAGGTGGACACAGAAGGCTTGTCTGCCTTTTCTGGGCAAGACTGAATATAAGATATGAGTTCAAGGCAACAGTATGACCAATAAGATGAAAATGTACGAGCTGCAAACGCACAGAGGTGGAGAGGACAGACGAGGCCATGGCATCGGAATGGTGAACGGATCGGTTACCGATGAGTAAACGGCTAGACCTCCTGTCTGATGACCTGGGAACAATGGCTTGCTTTAAGCCACTTCTCTAGCCCTAGATAATAATCTAAGAAAGAAACATCAGCCTGGATTTACTAACTAGGAGGCTTTTGGATTTTTCCAAAGCTTCCAAGACAGAAAACCTTCTGACTATTGTCGGCCAGCATTTCTTCTCGCCCGGTGACAATAACAGTGAAACACAGCCACAGCACGTCTGTGGGGTTTAGCAAGATCCACTGACATATATGATCTCATGTGGAACCATCCATATAACTTGTAAGGAAGGTCAAGAGGGGATTCCAATAAGAATGGAGCCTCAGAAAGGTCCCCAACTTGCCGAATAATAGACCTAGTATTTGGTAGAGACATTAGTCAAGCTGAGGTCTTCTGACTCTCAGGGGTGCCTTCACCCCTGCATCTCTCCCTCTCACCTCGCTTCACCCCTGCAGGAGCTGTGAGGAGCTCCACTGTGCCTTGCAAGGAGGGGGTGGGGAAGATTGTCCTGCACACCGTAACCCCATGTTGGGGGGCGGGGGGCAAGAAGCAGGGTGGTGGCACTTCTGACCTTTTCAAAAGTATACATATTTTTAAAATTAGATAATTTGGTACAAGTTTGCTAAATATAAAATAGGAAATACCCAGAAGAGCAAATTAAAAGAAATTTCACAGAACTGTTTCATTTTCTCAAAATGAGAAGTTTGAAGTTTTCCTTCCCGCTAGCTTGAAAAGATTTTTAGAAAGTTAAAAGAGAAAAACCAGACTCTAAGCCACCTGAGTCTTTAAATCACTTAGGTCCCAGTGCTCCACCTCCAAAGACTCTGATTAAATAGTCTGGGACGAAACCTGGGCTTTGCTTTTTGCTTGTTTTCAGATTCCCCGGAGTTTCCAAAGTGCAGGTAAAGCTGAATGTCACTGTCCCAAATATAAATCCACATCGACTGCAACCACTAATTTCCAGGTGCAAGCATCATTAAGCTAATTTCAATAAAACCTTCTCTTTTTTTGTTAAGAGTTACATAATGTACAGTAGTTCCTACTCACATTTTTTTAATCCTGCAAAAAAAAAAAAAAAATGAAATTGAGCTCTACCTGAAAGCTTTGTTCTTGAACATGAAACCTGCATTTTCTGACCGGTATAGAGAACCTTTACATCGGCAGTTCCCAACTGGGGTGGGGGGAGTGAGACAAAATGAGGGGTGTGGTTTTGCCCCCAAGTGACATTCAGCAATGTCTGCAGGCATTTAGTTGGCACAGCTGGGGTGAGGGGTGCCACCAGAATCTGGTGGGCAGAGGCCTGGGTCTGGGTGAACATGGCACAATGTGCACGATGCAGGACTGTCCCACAACAGAGCGTTCCAGCCCGGACGTCAGCAGTGCTAACGCTGCTTTGCACTGAAAACCTCATCTGGAGCCCGCAGCTGCATGCCCCAGGCCTGTGCAAGAGCTTCATGGGCACGTGGAGGGCACGGCAGCCGCCTCGCCAGCTAGGGGCTGTTTCTCCCAGCAGTCAGGGTGTGAGGACTCATCACCACCGGACCTCTCTCTCCACAGGGTCTCACACATTGTAGAGAAGCTGGCCAGAGTCCCAGGCTCCGGGAGAAAATGCCACAACTCCCCTGGGGGACGAGACTGCAACAGCCAGGAAGCCCCCAAACGGAGCTCACAGCAATGCACGACGGCACGTAAGAGAAACCGCTACTTGCGATAAACAGGGGCCAGAAACAAAACTAGACAGACACCACCGAACAATGGCTGACTTCGTGGATAGCGATGGGACGCCTATCACACCAAGACTCACAGTAACCTAAACAGGGCACAGAGAAAAGGAGTGGAGGGAAATCTAAAGCTTAATTGGTTTTGTTTCCTAATTAAAGTCTTCAAGAACTTCCCTTCTCAGACTACCCTAAGGGGAAATCAGCAACTTCTAAAATAACTTAATGCAGCTGTCATTTGAATGGAAGGAGCTCAGAGCACTGGAGAAAACTTCAGATCCCAGGTAATGACTAACTCAACCTCCTCAAAAAGAATGCTCCCTTGGCCTGAGGCAAAATACTTAATGGCCTGTTAAAGACTTAGAGAATGAGGAGGTTTGAAAGGATGATCACAACAATTCAAAACAAAAACAAGGAAAACAACAAACTATAACTTTATTAGAGAGAAAATTCTCCAGAGACTAGATTTTTCTACTCAAACACGATCACCCTGCAAACAATCCTCTTGAACATTTCTCCCTGGGAAACAGGCCATCAGAAGGCATTTCTAGACACGATTTAAGAGAGCAGTTCATTTCAATCAATGTGACTTCACTGAAACAAGGCTAGACAATTAAAACGGTGACAGTCAACATAGCTTACAACAATTTCTGTAGTGTTCGCTGTTGGTAGACTTCATTTGTACAGTATTTCACATACGGGTCAAACGTGGACGCCGTGTGTTTTTCCACAATGTCACTTATGTCGTCTATGAAGATATTATTCTGATGTCTTGCTTCCAACTCTGTAAAGAATCTGAAAAACAAAGACAAGCATTTACACTCTCTTCCATATGCTTTAATAACAGATATTCCTCATGTAATGCTTCTATGCAGGCTTTGAAAATATCACCAATACCAGTACCAACTCAGACAGATACAAGCCCAAAACTATATAAAGACTGTCTAGCCCTGGCCAGTTTGGCTCAGCAGTTGGAGCATCAGCCTGCAGTCCAGAGTGACCCGGGTTCGGTTCCTGCGAAGGGCATGTACCTCGGTTGCAGTTTGTCCCAGGCCCTAGTTGGGTAGTGCCGGGGGCAACCACAAGGGAAACATTGATGTGTCCCTTTCACGTCAATGTTTCTCTCTCTCTCTCTCTCTCCCCCTCCCACTCTATCTGAACAAAATATGGAAAAGTGTCCTCGGGTGAGGATAAAAAAAAAAAAAAAAAAGACTGTCTACATTTAAACCTGTCATATTAACACCTTCAAGTAGTCAGTTTACAGCATTGATAACCCAGTTCATTTCTCTGCTTGCAGGTATGTTTTAGAATATACAGTTTTCACTATTTTTGATTACCTAGATATTGGGGGGGGGGTGATGCTTACATATTTTATTATACTGAAAAGCATATGAGCAAAACACCCCAAAAAGTGATTAAAAAACAAGTCTGAAATAAACCTAATTCCAGGTGTCCTTTCAAAAATAAAGGTAATCATATTATTTTAATTCTAATAATATGTATGACATTTCAGTGTCTTCATAAATTACTTAGGTTGCAAGGTAGGGTTGCCAGACTTAGAGTATGTGTGTACTGGTATGTCCAGTCCAGCTAAAAGTAAACTTCAGATAAATAATGAATACTTTCTCACTAAAAGTATTATGTGTCAAATATTGTGTGGGCGTCTTGTATTATGTCTGGCAACCAAAGATTGCATCCGATTTGAACAGAACATCAACATCGGGCATGTAACGTAGGTTTCCACCCAGTGCTGCTGCTCGGAATACGGTCCCCAGACCAGCAGCAAAGGTGCCACGTAAGAGCATGTTAGAAGCACAACCTCACCTCCCACCCCCCAAACTGGACCTGCATCTCGGCAAGATCTCCAGATGACCTGAATAAACACCAAAATTAGAGAACCGCCCTAGAGCCCACTTACTGTCCAGGTTTGGAACAGTAGGAAAATCTATTAGAAATGACTCTCACACGAGGACTAAACCATTTTCCAAATGAATGTGATGAAGGTGAAATCCACAGTAATTTCTAATGCTGACTTCTGGAACAGTAATATGAGGGAAACTGAGTTTTCAATACGTTCTTTAGTATTAAGCACATCGCTGCTCCAGTCGACCAGCCAGGCTCCAGCACATAAAATTCAAGGCTGACAGCGAATAAGATGACAGAAATCTACGTAAGGTAACAGGCAGTACCTATATCGATTTGGGCAAACACTGTCTCACATTTATATCTCAGTTATTTCCAAAGAAAAACCAAGACATTAGAAAGCTTTGTGTTTATGTATTTACATGTATATTAAACTCTATTATTCGCTTGCAATCATTACCTAGTCTATTTTTTAAAGTTTCTGTAAGGGCTTAAAAGGCAAATGCATTTAACTTCCTAGAACAGTATTATGATTTCATAATACTCTGAGGAAGGACTTACAGAAAATAATCAATGTGATTCCCAGCCACAGATTATTCATTGGCCTACTCATCCACACCCCTTGTTTGGGTATTAAAACATCAAGAGGGAAAATGTAACACTATATAACTTCTTATCTGCTTATAACTTCAAGTCTTTGCTAGACTGTTTGCCTTCCCTTTCAGTGGGATCATGGTTAATATGCACAGTTCTTAGACAGTAGGCCCGAAAATACACGGGCATGCTCCAAAGGCCAGTCAACAGCTTCATGCCACTGTGTAAGGCTGAGTATATTAATATTCATGCACAATTTATGACAAAAGATAGGGAGGGGAAGGGGACTGTGGCTGGGCGACAAAGGTGATATTCAACAATTTTATCTGCAGCAGTCTTCTTTATTTTTAAATTTCAAAAAAATAAGTTAATTCTGTTTGTTTCATATTTATTATTCTCTGCCCTTTCTGTGCTTTTAAAATATTTTTAAAATTAAAAAAAGTTAAGAAGCAAATACATATATATGTATGTGTGTGTGTATTCTCTCTCTCCCTCTCTCTCTCTATCTATCTATATATATATATTTCAAATAAAATGATCCCCATCTGAAAAGTTTCAGCAATTTCAAAGGCAACCACTCCAAATCTGAAACAAAGCTATATTTCTTAAAGTATTTTTTCTATATAGATAGGTTCCTGACTTCAAGAAATTAAAGATATATAAGAAACATAAGAGTGATAAACATAGGTAACATAGAAAGATAACATTCTTGCTTACAATGACAGGTTGGACCATTTGTGTATACGGGTGTTGGTGGTAGTACCTATTTTTAATTACATGAACTATGTATTTTTTATTGTGGCAAAATATACATAACAGCACTGGCCGGTTTGGCTCAGCGGTTAGAGTGTTGGCCCACGGAACCAGAGTCCCAGGTTCGGTTCCTACTAAGGGCTCGATGTGTCTCTATCACATCTATGTTTCTCTCTCTCTCTTCCTCCCTCTCTCCCTCCTGCTCTATCTGAAGATAAATGCAAATATGTCCTAGGTGAGGATAAATACATATATACACATATACACACACACACATAAAATTTGCCATTTTAACCATTTTTTTAGGGTACAATTCAATGGCATTAGTTACATTTACAGTGTTAAGCAACCATCACCTTGGCCTACCAAAATATTTCATCACCCTAAATAGAAAGACTACACTCATAAAGCAATAACTCCCCATCTCCCTCTCTCCTTAGCCTCTCATAACCTCTAACCTACCTTCTGTCTCTATGAATGTACCCATTCTAGATATTTCATATAAATGGAATCATACAATATCTGTGTTTTTGTCTGGCTTATTTCACTTTGTGTAATGTCTTCTAAGTTTAGCCACACTAAAGCATGTATCAGAATTTTATTCCTCTTATGGCTGAATAATATTCCCTTAGATGCATATATCATTATTGTTTATCCATTCATTTGTTGACAGACACTTGAGCAGTTTCCACATTTTGGCCATTGTGAAGAACGCTGATGTGGACATTAGCACACAAGAGTCTGTCTGAGTACCTGTTTCCAAATCTTTGGGTTAGCTGTATATCTAGAGATGGAATTTCAACCTCACTGTCTCTGTGCCAATAACATGTTTATCAAGAAAACATAGTATAATACCAAGAAGTAATACAGAAGCTGCTGAGATATAGCCAAGGGGAATTACTTCATTCAATTAAAGTTGAAAAAGAAATGAGCCGTGGCCCATGGGAGGCACGAACCAATTAATTACAATACAAGATGGGTAACAGAGGCACACGTGGCAAGTCCTGCAGGCAGGGTGGCTGACAGTAAACACAGCTGAGGACGGGAGTGAGGCAGGTCTTACTGGTAAGAATGTCATCACTGGGAGCCCAGCGCTGTGGGCTGGAGAAACAGCGTGCGCCTGACATGATTCTCATTCAAGAGAATGTGGGTAGGTGAGTGAGGCCGAGGTGTGGACCACAGGAAGAACAGGGTCAGAGACTGTGGGCTGAACAGCAGGTCAGGGCGTGATGGCAAAGGTTTGACGTGCTGAGGAGCTTGGGCTTAATCTGTGGACAGTGAGAATCTGCTAGAGGTGTTGAAGCCAGTAAGTGACCCAACCAGACAGGAAAAAGTGGGACAACGGAGGGATGGATTACAAATGAGGAGAGAGAGACCGAAGCAGGCCAGTCAGATGGCAAATTTGGGCAAGTGACGATAAAGCCTGGCAGTGGGACATTAAAGAGAGGACACATGATCTCACTTATTTGTGGAATATAATGAACATAACAGTCTGAGGAACGGGGTAGTCCCAGAGACGTGGAAGTGGGGTACAGACTGGCAATCCCCAGAAGAGGGGGTGGGGGGAAGATAAACCACAGAACTCATATGCATATTCGCATGAACAATGGACATGGACAACAAAGATGGGGACAGGGTGGGGAGGGAGGGGGGTTTCAGTGGGGGAAAAAGGAGAAACATCTGTAACAAAAATAAATAAATTAATTAATTTAAAAAAATAAAAAGAGGACACAGGTTAGGGTAACAATTTAGAGGGAAAGTTGACAGAACGGAGAAATTGACTGGATGGGAAAGTCAAGGAAGATGCTGGGATCTCTAGTTAAGGTTTCTACCTGGGCATCAAAGTGGGTCATTAACAGGGATTTGGGAGAAGAAAGGGGGTGTGAAGCCAGAAGGAAGCAGTTTAATTTTGTCTTGGAGACTGCAAGTAGACAGCTCATTCATCTGGGAGAATTCCCGGCCACAGCAATTCTAGGTAGTATGTGGTCAAGTCTAGTTCACTTTTAGCTGGTTTTCATATAAATGCAAAATATTTGTACTTTACTTTAATCTAAACAGCTTTGAAGAAAATGTTCAAAGAAAATTGAAAAGAAAAAAGAAACTGTGTGTAAGGTCATGATCACGTAAATCTATGAAATAAATATCTTAGAGGCAAATATCCTTTAGTTTCTTGCCTTTAGCTAACTGTTACAATCTGAAAGAATGCAACTATATAACCAAAAACAACAGTAACTTGGCTTTTCCCAATGAAAAGGAAAATTCATTTATCACAGTAAAAGGTTTGCCAAAGTACAAGATTAAAAACAAAGTACTAATGAAATACTTGTTTATGCTACTTACTTTCATGTAAAATAAACCAAGCGCTCATCCTTTATTTTGACATTAGCACAATTAAGACACAATTTAAAGCTTCATGTGTTAAATTCTCTATTTGTTATTTTGGCAAATGTGCACATTTTACTAAGTGAGTGGAGCTACAAAAAGACCCAGAAAATATTACTGAAGAATGAGGTATTATTCCCATAACCAAGAATGCTGCTGGTCCATATCAAATCTGACGCAAAAGTTAAAGCATTTTATGAAGC